GCTCATTGTTACCATTATTACAATCGTTGTTTTTTTCTTAATTAAATAACCCTACGCTATTGGCTGGGTGTGTGGTAATCATAATTGTAGACCCCCGTGTGGGTTCCGGGGCCCCATTGTGGGGAAAACAAGAATAGACCCACTGCCTCCCCAAAAGCATGTCGTAAGAGTCGACTAATTGGGAAGCTTCCTTTGAAGTCGGAGTGCATCTGCCGGAGAGGCAAGGAACCAACAGTCTGTATTCAAGAGAATGAGATCTGTAAAACTGATGCACACGCAACACTCAGGTTCTGGAGCAGGACTGCAGTTCAGTAGTGGACGAGCAACCAGAACCTTCCGCCAGAGTTTACAGCTGGTGAACGTGAAGAAGAAGAAGATAATTGTAGAAACCCATGAGAAACCCAGCAAGTATGTGACTGACGTGTTTTATCAGCTGTAGTTTTCTTCAACTGTTTCACCAGTTCTGTACACTGACCTTTGGCCACTGTCGACCCTGGACCAGCGACTGGCAGAAATCTGTCTGGCCCTACTAAACTCTTAGTAGGCGTAGACTGTCATTGTATAGGCCATACGAATCGACGCCAACACAAGCATGAATGGACAAAAGGACAGGCATAGACAGACGGGCAGGTAGAGACGAACGTACGATGACATTTAAGGCAGGCAGACAGACAGACAAAACAGAAAGACAGACAGACAGACTGACTGACTGACTGACTGACAGACAGACAGACAGACAGACAGACAGACAGACTGACTGACTGACTGACTGACGGGCGGGCGGGCGGGCGGGCGGGCAGGCAGGCAGACAGACAGACAGACAGACAGACAGACAGACAGACAGATACAGCTTTATCTTCAAAGGTTGAGGGTCTCCATGGCGAAGTAGTCAAGCTGTTTGCCTCCTGCTCTGAAGGTCGTGGGTTAGTTTCACGCGTCGTTGTTCAGTTCACGAGTGCAAGCTGTACGCAGAACCATGGTAGCCTGAGCTACAGAGGTCGTGCTCTGTGCGAGGCTCTCGGCAGGCAGCTAGCTGTTCTGCGCATAGCGACTCAGAGACTATATGGGATAAAACCCGGTGCAATGAAGTCGATCCTCTCGCCTACACCTTATCTTTATTTGCAAAGGTCTTAGAATTCTACGTGCAACCCGTCTGACATTCTACATACTTTATAAAGGTGTCCCTCGCTATACGCAACTTATTCGTTTCGAGAAATCATCCTGTCACTCGAAACTAAAAGAAAAGTAATTTTTAAAATAATGAGCTAAATTGATTTAAACATGCATTATATAAGTAAAGTTTAAAAAAAAAAAACATTGTAATATTTACAAATTCTACCTTATTAACCGTAAAATATGCCCCCCCCCCCTTTTCCCCAACCCCAGCCCTCGCCTCACCCTACCCCTTTATTTAAAAAAAATTTTCAAAGTAAGTCACGCAGGTTAAAAGATGCGACAGAGGATCATTCTCTCGCAGATTCTATGACTGAAGAGAATAGGCTCCAAGTCGCGCACGGACGTACACTCACGCAGCCAGACACACTTACCCCCCCCCCCCCCCCCCCCCACCCCCCCCCCACCCCAACCCCAACCTCCCTTTTCCGTGTTTCAAGACCCAGCCGCAAACCTCAAACACAATTCAACAACATTAGCGCGACAAATTGGAAAGATCTCCCGACGAATCACGCAACGTCACGGTACAGACTTGAGATTATTTGAGGAGTAAATATCCAGAAAGCCATTGACTATCAGAACTGCTGACCACGGTACCAGGGGAAATATGCAAATGATTGTGATACTGTAAACACCATTTTCATCAACTGGGTTTTTCGTTGTTGTTCAGACCGGTCGATGATTTGTTGACTTCATTCGTGTACGCAGGGGCGCCGGAACATGAAAGCGCAGGCGGGTGTGTGGAGCGTCTCTCCCCCCCCCCCCCCTGCAGATTTAAAAAAAAAAAAACGGTTTAAGGCTAGGCCCTTCAACTCCCCCTTTCCCCGTAACTTTCAGGAAGCTAAATGGTTACCTTTTGAAATATCTGTTCATATTAAGTATTTAGTCGCACCTTTTTTTTTTTTCTTTTTCTTGGGATGTAGACATTTCCCAGACAGATCGCCCGACTTCTCTATCGGCAGTTTTCTTCTTTACACATTTCATATTATTTCACTTATACTGTAGCAGTTATTTGCCACGCCGCATATGTTAATAATATTATTAATAAAATCTGCGTTATTATTTTTTTATTATTATTACACATTGAAACAAGTGTTTAAAGATTATCCTGCGACAAACCCGGCATGCCAGAAGGGATTTTATTTGTTCACTTGAAACTGCTCAAGAATTACGCAGTTCCAGCTCTAGTGAATAATAATAGCATCAGACAGATTGTGGCAACGAGACCTTGCATTAGGTTTGTCGAGAACAGCGATTCTCAACCTTCCAAATGCCGCGACCCTGTATTACAGTTCTGCATGTTGTGGTGTCGGGGTCTGTGGCTTGGGCGTTACGAACGCGCTTTGTAATGCCGGGGTGCCGGTCTCGACCCCAGCTGCGGGCCTTGCGCCTTGCGTGGGTTTCGACATTGGTATCGAGAAGCCGACCGTCCCGAGAGCAATGGCAAACTACTGGACGTAAACTTGTCTAGGAAAAGCACAACAGCCAAAAAATGCTGGGGTTGGTTCTGCAACGTCCTGTAAAGTATACGCAACTAACTTTGTTGCATTTTGTGGTAACCCTCAACGATATAATTATTTCCGTTGTTACTTCATAACTTCAGTGAATATGTGTTTTCCGATGGGCTTAGGCAACAATTGTGTAAGGGTCGTTCGACCTCCAAAGGGCTCGCGACCCACAGGCTGAGAAACGCTAATCTAGAACCAGCAGATCAAGTGGTTTGGCCATCTCGTTAGAATGCAGCAACATCAAATACCACAGGCACTACATCTCAGAAGGTGAGCTGCAAGAGCAAGAGGGTTGCCACGAAAAATATCGATCGACAACATTAGAAGCAGTACATCTTCAGGGCATGACAATAGACAGGGCCAGCCAATGTGCACTAGATCGCAAATTATTCCCCCTCACGCCGCTTAACGACATGAGTGATTTATGTTGATGGTGATGATGACTTAAACAAGGCTTAAGTTAATTGAACCCTCCCTCTAGAAAAGTGTATCTCTTAACAGCGACGCCCCTGTGCGTACTCATTAAATAAGAGAAGCCGCAGGCAGTAAGCAATGTCAGGTTACCAACGACATTCGAGAAGAAAGGCACTAGTAAGTCTTGTTTGGTGATTTTTTACAGCGGGAATAAAACTGTTTACAACAGTTCACCGACTGTTCCATTGATTTTTGTCTAGAGTTATTTTTTTTTTTTTCTTTCTATGCGGTCACAACAAAATAATGCTGTGTTTACTTGTTCATTCTTACTTCTTTTTGTTGCTGTTGTTGTTGTTGTTGTTGTTGTTGTTGTTGTTGTTGTTCTTTTCTTCTTCTTCTTCTTCTTCTTCTTCTTCTTCTTCTTCTTCTTCTTCTTCTTCTTCTTCTTCTTCTTCTTCTCCGCTACTAGAATGCCTCGCGGCGTAAGGGCAGGAAGAGATCTCTGGAAAGGGCCCTTTTTTTTCTCTTCGTATAACCTGTCAGTGCTGTCCATATTCTGCTTGGTCGACCCCTGGAGCTGTTACCGTTGCATCTGAATAACACAGCTCCTTGTGGTGCCCTGTCTGACGCCCTGTCTATATTGTAATCCTGACAGCTGTTAGTTATAAATGGTGCTGGGGCAATAGTTGTAGACCAATGGGCACTAGCTGGTTGTTCACGTCGTATTACGCTGATTGTATTTAAATAAATAAATAAATCAGTATGTCTTTTACAGAACGTTATCTTGCGGCATGTTTGAAAATTTGTCTGCACACATTAATGTGTCGGCTGCAGTGTGAAGGTGTATGGCGTGAACGTTATTGATGTGTGTAAGTGAGCAGTTTAATCTCGTTTGCTAGTAGAATGAATTACTGCGTCGCAAAATTGTGTTGGTTAAAACGTGTACCACCAACACAGAAAAAAAAAAAAGCAGAATGACCGCGTCTGCAGCGGTTAGTGGAGTAAGTATGGACAGGGCAGACACTCTGGTCCTCAATTGTATATAACAATTATGTCGTTTGTATTTGTATGCAGTTTGAATTAAGAAGTATGTAACTAATACATGTAAACCCATAGTTTAAATAAATAAAGACGAAATAATCAGACTGGCCCCGTCTGCAACAGTTAGTGAGGATAGTATGGACAGAGTAGCCACAATGAATGCGCTGGTTCCACAGACGGGACAAAGGAGTCAGAAACGATGAACCACCTGTTGCAAATGGGTGTTAAACGAGGACAAGGATGTAGAAACCAGTTTACTGGCATGGTAAGACACATGTCAATCAAATTCAGCAAAATCAAATTCATTTGCATGAATGGATGAGGCCGACGTTCTATGATGTCCATGTGGATAAAAAGTAAAGTAATGGACCTTTCTCCACGTCTTCAGGAGTTCTGGGCATATAAGGGCTATATTTATATTTATAGACAAGTCTGCAATCGGTCAACATCACGCCGGCCGCCTTTACTTCCCGGGACTGTACTTGGTTCACATTCAAGGCTTAGTCAACACAGGAGTCAAGTTAATTGTTTTTTTTTTTTAAAGAAGAAGAAGAAGACAGGCTCCGTTAGGTCTTGAACACAGGACTGGATAAGAAGTAGTAAGTATCAAATGTCTTTAGGCAAAGCTAATATCTGTAAATACAAAGCTCACCAATATGTACGTTTGAGAGAGAGAGAGAGAGAGAGAGAGAGAGAGAGAGAGAGACAGAGAGAGAGACAGAGAGAGAGACAGAGAGAGAGAGAGAGAGAGAGACACAGAGAGGAGACAGACAGAGAGAGAGAGAGAGAGAGAGAGAGAGAGAGAGAGAGAGAGTTCACGCCTACACAGTTGCAGAAAGAAGAGTGAAACAATACTTTACTCACCTTCTTCACATACTGGGCCGCATCCTCTTCCTTATAGACTTCGGCGGACACTGCGCCTCTTCGGGCACGTTTGGTGGTCGGAGGTGGTGGTGCGCCGGACACGTCATCCTCCTTCTCATCACTTGGAGGTGTGGAGGACTTGTTCTTTTCTTTGGTAGCCTCTTCCTGAAAACGACAAGTGACTTATGAAACGACAAGTGACTTATGAAACGACACGTGACTTATGAAACGACACGTGACTTATGAAACGACCAGTGATTATGAAACGACCAGTGATTATGAAACGACCAGTGACTTATAAAACGACAAGTGACTTAAGAAACGACCATTTGAATAATGGTGTCGAAAACATGGATGACTAGAGTCGTGCTGAAAACTATCTATGAACACAACATAACATTTCACTGGGAACAGAGTTTCGCCCCTATCTTCAGCAGACAGACAAGGGTTCTAATATAGATGGCACAACCAGCAGTGAGACAATATGTCTGTCTATCTTGTTTTTCCTGAGTATGCAGTGTGGATCTGTTCCTGTAGTCCTTCTGCGGTGCTTCAGTCTCTTCAGACAGCAATGCTAATTTCGCTATATTTGGTATTACTTGCTCCCAAAGGGGCTTATATCGCATCTTGCTTGTCAATTCAAGGCTTAGCTGGGTAGTACCAGCCAATCTGCCTCTCTGTTAATTTCCCAGCACACGCGTATTCCCCAGATAAAAGATTCAAAGGACACTAGCTCCTTGGGACCTTTGGATATGCAAAGGATTAGAAATAAAGAAGAAAAAGAGAGACTGCACTGTAGACACTGTCTCAAAAATAACTGTAAAACATGTACAACATGCAGTATATTCATTTATGGAATGGGTTAGGTAAGGAATGTATACACTGCATTGTGTAACCCACCACTACACTGTCTCGGAGGAAAATGTCATATCAAATGGGGAAGAGAAGACAGAGAAACGCAGGGCGGCTTAAGTCTACAGAGTGGATACGCTCTACTATATCTGTGCATGCGCAAGGTGCTGAAAACAGAGAGCAACGGACTAAGAAGGACTCTTGCTTCCTGATGCTTCCATGTTATGGGTACGGCGAATCGACAACAACGTTGATTTATTTTATTATACAGTCAGTGGGACATCACAATTCTCACACAAACAACGCTGAAGCAAGAGGCCAGGCTATCGCTGGCACTGGAGGGTTTATCAACTCTGGCTGTTATTGTATCTCTTATTAGTACCAGCTATGGATCATTAACGTTTATTTTTCTACTTCTCTTTAATTTCTACCTTTATTTTTATATGATCACTATTACTTTTTTGACAATTTTTTCGAGGCTTCCTTTATTTTTTTTTTTTTTTTAAATTTTACATCATCTTTTTACAGTTTCTCACGTGACTCCATGGTGGGAGTTGGTGGTTGGAGTATTCTCATCTTTGCTATTGTTGTGTGGTTAGTTTATGTCGAGAAAGGTTTCGGTCGAAACGGTGATTTGTGTGTTTTGTACACATTGTTCTACTTCCATATTTCGTGAAGTCATATTTCACTGGATTAATTTCTTGGTATTAGCTTGACTTCAGTCACCCCTTGACTTCAGTCACCAGTTTTCACTACTTTCTGAAAAATATATCTTTTTCTCGACCGAACTGGCACTAATTTTTTTTTTTTTTTTTTTAATGTCCTCTCTCGGCCGAATTTGAACACACAACAACCAATCCAGTAACAAATGGCGGCCCGTGAATGTAAAAACTCAACAATTACAATTAAGGTAGGTAGCCAGTTACACATTATCCACGAAGTAATAATACCGGTTACGTCCCTTCTTAGTTTCATACTTGCAGAGATACATGCCGACCATATTGTTATATTCCAGTATGAGTTGGCTACAGCCGTGGTAGTGCAGTAGTTAGATGTTTGTCTATCGCCAAGTCTTGGATTCGAGTGGGAATGTGTTGTGTGTGCAAAACTTACCTTGGCTCCCAGATCGACCCAGCCGGTATATAGATATTGCGCTAACACATGTTAGCACCCTTACGTGTTTTTCCAGACTGCTTTATACTGTGGGTTCTGGGGCCCTATTGTGTAGACAACAAGAATAGAGCCACTGCCTCTCCCAACAAGAATGTCGTAGGAGTCGACTAACTGTGCACTTGTTTCGCAGTCGGAGTGCATCTGCCAGAGCGGCAAAAAACAACCAACTGCACACAAATAAGCTAGTAAAACGAATGTATACGCAAAACTCAGGCCCTGACACAAAGCCAAATTACAGATGGACGAACAACCAGGACTTTCTGTTGAAGCTTACAACTGGTGAACACAGAAGAAGGAGACACAATTCTATAAGGAAGACGTGGGAATCGCAGCCCATGACGACTGTGTATAAAAAAGCCCGCTCGCAAAATCAGAGTATGAAATTACAGGACCACTGCTAAAATGTATTTCAAGTGCTTTTTCTCAAACGCCCAGCTCCGAACCTGCCCGTATCCATTTTTTCTCCTGTATCCCTATCACTTTTCCCACATCGATGCAATATATCCATGAGCTCCTATTCTTACTAATCCATTTAAATATCTGTATAATTCATGTCCCGCTTCCATACCTCTTTGTTTTTAGACAACAGCTATTTAAATAATGCTTACACAAATAATAGATTTCCCAATTTATTGCCAGGAATATTTCGCTATATCTCGTCATGTGCGTTGCTACAGAGTTACATCAACATAAAACGAAGCACAAAACTGAATAAATTCAGCTGAAATGCGAATCTTGATATCATCATCATCATCATCATCATCACCAACATCACCAACGCAGCCCCTAAAAACCACATGTCGTGAAATCATCAGCTGATGCTTGCGGTCTAAACAGTTCTGGCGACACCTTTCGGCCAGATGCAATCAACTGGATGTCTAGACGTCTGATTCTATATCCAGGTATTTCTTTCTTGATTTGCTCTTACTTTCCCTCTACAAAACCCTGTAGATTGGTTTAGAAGAGGGCGCCACACCTTGTTACATATCTACACCACTGTTCCGTCCCAGGGCTGTCCTTTAAAGTTTATAGTTGTCAATGTGTGGACTGACGATATGGCGAACTTCGTCATTTGTGACGTGGTCACTGCATGATATACCAAAGATCTTTCAAAAGGAACATTTTCAATGATTTCATTTTCCTATTTAATTCGGAGACTTTTACAACGAAGACATGGTATTAAAGCAAAATAAACTACGATTAGTTATTTACTACAACCCCCCCCCCTCTTTTCTCTCGTATAATTACATTAGAATAGAACCTCGTTAATACGAACTCACTTAAGGCGAACACTTCGTTTACAGGTTCAAAATTGAATTTTTAACCCAGCAGGGATGTATGTATTATTCACAACAGATCTGTCATTTATCGGTTAGTACCAATGTGTTCAACACGCTCCTGATGTTTCGGTCTTTAGAATTGTTAGCGCGGTTGTACTGTTTGTTGTTGTTGTTTTTTTTTTTTTTTAAGTTATAGGAGAATTGTTTAGCTGTCTTCATTACGTGACTGTTCAACAGATAAAGGTAATAGTGCCATTAAAGAACACGAGTGGGCAGCCAAGGAAACGCCAAAATAGAAACACGACATCAAAGCGACATATGAACAGCGAAATTGGTTAACAAATATAAGTCAGATGGGAATATATTTACCTGGGTTAAGTAGAAAAATGTGTATGTAGACTGGGTAGGAGAAGTGTGTGGGATGGAAGGTGTGAGAAAATAAATCTTTGTGGTCTCAGCTAGAACAAATGTGCGTGCCGTGTTTAAAAACATAGGTGGGATGCAGGGGCGCCGTCAAGATAAAAAAACATCAGGGGTTGGGAGAGAGCACCTTTCCGCTACCTTACAACATTTCTGGAAGGGAAATGTGTGTGTGTGTGTGTGTGGGGGGGGGGGGGGGACATTCCCCAAATTTAGAAAACAAAACATGGCGACGCCCAACTCCCCAACTACAATATCCTCGCCAACTAGGCAAAAGGATTAATACAGTAAAGGGGCATAATCCTTACCCCGTTATAAATTTCCTTGTCAAACAATCAGGTGATGGTGGGTTTGAGGTGGGTCTTAAGTCTTGGATTGCCCTCACACACAAGAAATTAGGGAGGGTGTTAAGCCCTGCCTTCCCCCCCCCCCCTTCTCCCTTCCTTTTCCCCCAAGTCCAAAAATGGTATAAAGTTGCTTAGATGTGTTCTTGCCCGGCTCGATAGCGTAGCTGGTTAAACCTAACTACGTGGCGACCAACTCCTTGTAGTCCGGGTTCACGCACGGGGGTTGGCAGAAAAGCCACATTTCTCCCAGATTTAAGGTATCTGTCATGGAATCCATGCCGAAAGGGTTGCGATATCCAGATTACATAGCCAAAGTTTCTGGATATTTAAAAAAAAAAAATACACTGAATATTACCTGAGTATTACATTTATTATTGTCATTATTATTATCCTCATCATTATCATAAGGGTGCTGAATGGTGAAGTGTGTGTGTTTGTGTGTGTGTGTGGGGGGGGGGGGGGTGGGGGGGGGGGGGGTAAGCTCTTCCTAATGAAATCAAATGACTGCTCAAGGGACCTACGCTCCGTGGCTGAGGCACCGGAGGACACAGTATGCATGGGACTGCTTGATCTGCAGTGACGTCGACTGGGATAACATAACACTGCGGATATGTGAGAAAATATGTGTGGGACATGTTAAACAATTTGTATATTGGAGGTATCAGTGTGTGTATGTGTGTGCGCGCGTTCTAAAACAAACGTGATAGCGGCAGCGTTATGTCCGATGAATATACAAAGGAACTTTGTCAGAAAACTGTGATAATACAGAAAATTAAAAACATGTGGGGTATACTGAGTGTTTAGTTAGTCAGTCAGTCAGTCAGTCAGTCGGTCAGTCGGTTAATTAGTTAGTTAGTTAGTTAGTTTAGTTTAATTAGTTTATTCACTTAGTCAGTCAGTCAGTCAGTCAGTCAGTCAGTCAGTCAGTTAGTTAGTTAGTTAGTTTAGTGTATATAGTTTATTCAGTCAGTCAGTCAGTTAGTTTAGTTTAATTAGTTAGTCAGTCAGTCAGTCAGTTAGTTAGTTAGTTTAGTTAAATTAGTTTATTCAGTTAGTCAGTCAGTCAGTCGGTTAGTTAGTTAGTTAGTTTAGTTTAATTAGTTTATTCAATCAGTCAGTCAGTCAGTCAGTTAGTTAGTTTAGTTTTATTAGTTTATTCAATCATTCAGTGAGTCAGTCATTCAGTCAGTTAGTTAGTTATTTAGTTTAGTTTAGTTTATTCAGTCAGTCAGTCAGTCAGTCAGTCAGTCAGTCAGTCAGTCAGTCAGTCAGTCAGTTAGTTAGTTAGTTAGTTTAGTTTAATTAGTTTTTTCAGTCAGTCAGTCAGTCAGTCAGTGAAGTGAGTGATTGAGTGAGTGCGTGAGTAAGTTGTCGTTACGGTTCCGGCATCACAGCAAACGAGCTTGGCCCATAATTGCTCAACCGCCTATGACAGTGATTCCAGTCACAAACTGAGTCAGATACGCTGGATACTTCAAGTGAATGCCGTAGTGTCCCCAGTCAATAATACACACACGATTGGTATCTGAGTGGAATATGTTACGAAACAAGCAAAGGATCCTTCATTACGCGAGAGCGGGGGATGCGCAAAAAATCTGTGAGATGATATCGAACATATATGTGTATCCATTTTAGGCTTGTCAGTCTCTAAGCCTGTTTCCCCCCCCCCCCCCCCCCCCTCCGTTTAAATCACCACCTCTATAGAGATTTGACCAAAATATTAATAGGATTTTAATGCCAAGACAGCGGTACATTATGCACGTAATTAAGAGTGAGTTTATAGAAGTTACATTCATTACACTGATGTTTATATATATTTTAATTTTCGCTTCGTGTAGCACTCAGCGTTTGTTTGCTAGGGAATACTGCACTTAATACCTTTTAAATCTTGCTTCGTAGTACTGTTACAGCTACCAAGAAGGTTTATCTATAGCCCTGCTGTTTACTCAATCTCCGTGCATCATTCGAGCAGTATCTATCATAAATTTATCTTGAATTCTACTTAATTATTTGCATCATCATCACCTTATCCTGTTGTGTCCTTACACGTCACATTTCGCTCGCAGTCTAGTCCACCATTCCTTCTGTTCGATCCTATGTAACCTTCTTCTTCTACTTCTTTAGTTCTCATCTATATCTGCAATGTTGCCTTTAGTATGGACTTGTCTGTCCTTTTCAATCTGCCCAACGACTCGTACAGTGTGGCTTTCTCTGGGCTAGAAGTTTTGCCTTGATATGTTGTATTGGGACAGTCTTGGAGGACGTGATCTGTTGTCTCAGTTACCACTACAAATGTGCATATAGTTGCCCATCCTTATTGACTTGAGTCTTGGCTTTCTACTATCTTGGAATGAACCTTGAGCCGACGTCACTCGACATGTACCTTGTCTTCCGACATATTTGCTTTCGCCACGATTCACTCTCTATGATAACTGCGACATAACTTGCACTGCTCTAACGTCTAGGGTTTATAACATAAACGCCACTCGACTGCCTTGTACATACCATCAGTTTATTCAGTTGCATTTATTCCACATGTTTCAACAATTATTCAGACTTCTATCGCTCGCAACATATTCAAACACTAGCCATTCGCGCGACATAAAGACTACATCTTCAACTAAATGCAACCGTCTTCCACGACTTCTGTTGATCAACTGACCACGAGGCTAGCTCAGGCATCCCCTCGCTTACTCCACCGGCCACAAGTATCTCGTGCCGTCACTTGTAGCACGGACTTTCTGCTTGCCACAATGTACTTGTGGAGACCATGCAAAGCAGGGTCATCGCATGTATATAAGTGTGGCTGCGAAGTTGATATCATGAATATAATCCAGTCGAGCATGTTTGGTTTCTTTCATTAACTTTCGTTTTAGATTCTCTCTTAAAAATTCTGGTCTCTTAAGGCCATAATGATGCATGCTTACTATAATACTACACTAGTAATTGCAATGAACTTATCATTACTCTTGCATTTTACTGAATGACTCAAACGTATGCGAAAAACTTAAACACTGTTAACAGAACAAATCTGTTACTTACTTTCATGACGACGATAGGGGTTAACTGTATCACCAGTTACGATTTACAGCCAGATCAAACCATCCTATCTATATTCCATGTCCATTGTCAAGAATATAACGTAGCGAAATAAAGATGGACACTGTCCATTAAATAATAATTCAAGACTATCCATACAATCACAATTCCAGTTTATCAGTCAAATCACAATTTCAGAGTATCCGTTAAATCACAATTCCAGTTTGTATTGTTCGGTATACACTTCTAGAAGACCGTGTGGCCCATTCATTCATTGTGCAGTTCTAAGTGAAACTTGATTCCAGTATCAGTAGTCGATAGTGGCAACGTTGAACATTCAATATCCGTTTACAGTGGAAACGCTTTCTATCTTCCTGGAGACGATCCTAAATTCCGTTGCTCAACAGAGAATACTATAGCTTCTTTAACTACTATGGACACATAGGATACCATGTGTACTTTTTAGCTGAAAGTGTCGTACACGATATATATTAAAACGGGTTACCACTACACATATAAAAAAATACTTTAAATGTTAAAGGTGAAGGGGCGAAAGGGGGGGGGGCATGAGGGATGTCTCCATGGAGATTAGTCAAGTCCTTTGCCGCATGCTTTGACGGCGGGCAGTTAGTTTCACTGATGCGTCGTTCAGTTCACAACTACAGTTTATGGAGATCCCTAAGTACAATCGCTGGAGCTATCGAGTTCGGGCGTTGTGAGATACTCTTGGCAGGCAGACTGTTTGGGATAGATCGCTGCAATTAAGTCTATACACGAGATTTTAACTTCGATTGTCAAATGTAACAACAGCGAACGTTTTGTCAATGATAAATAAGCAGTCTGCTTTTGCCGCAATCAACCGTACTGGGTATACGGTGTTAGTTATTACAGGATCAATTGAAAATAATCTTGACTGCCATATCGACCAAGCCCTGACTGGGTACCATGTAAAGTTAAGGGAAGTAAAGGCGGTCGGCGAGGTGTTAACCACATCCCTCACTATGCGGCGATTGGTCTATAAAATATAGTTTTTGTCCTATAGCGAAATACGACAGAGGACATGGGAAAGGGTCGTTTTTATTACTGCAATAGGCACTAGAGACTTTAATGTTTAATTAGGAATGGATATCACAGAACTCGGCATATTCCCATAAGCGCCCCGTCCCCATCTTCAGCAGCTAGCGCAGACTTCCAATTTCAATTGTACCAATAGCAGCATATCAGTCTCAACTTTCACCTGAGTGCTGATCGTCAACCAAATCCCCTGGTCATTCTTCGCAGGACCATTCTCTTCAAACCATGATGACCCACCTGTGCTTCTGCATTGTTAACTCGCCTACAAAGGGCCCTTACAGCATCTAGCTTATCATGCATCAATCTATCACCAAGTTATGCAGGACCAGTCTTTCTGTCTGTTCATTTTCCAAGACACCGGCATATGCTGAGGAAACTAACCAAAGGCCGCTTACTACCCAGGACTTTTGAAGCGATTCTTGCCACTCTTCACGAAGCAAACTGGTCTCTACCTTTCTCAACATGCTCTGTGAGTCGGTTACAATTATGACATGTGTGTAAATCTGATTCTGTGGCGAAACGATGCAGTGACTGCCTCCACCTTCTTTCTCAAACTAAATGTTGTGAAGTCATATGAAGGCTTTGCTGCACTAAGCGACGTCCATTCACTTTTGCTAAGAACCTCCATCAGCTTCGCCTGCCTCTAAACACAGAGCCATCTGTATAGATTATCACACAACACCTGAGCGAGAAATGTCATGAATAGTTTTTGGAACTTATGATTCTGCAGCCCTGCTGACCAGTCTCTGCACGCACGGCCCAGTGTGATCAGAACCCTGATCAAATTTGACTTTTGCTTGGACGTTCTAACCCACTGTTCTACTCGCCCAATGTTATCAAGCCTTCACACATGTCTAATTGTGTCTTTAGTTTGTGTCATCTAATTCCTTCCTCTTTTTAGTCTGTGACCAATAGCTCTACCTAAGGTTTCATGTAGGAGGTGTTTCTTATCTGTGGCTACTCCGAGATATCACTAAGCTTGCTGCACTTTGAGCCTATATGTAATAGTAGTCAGTGCAAGTATATATCGCATAGATACTACGCAGGTAACTCCTGTACATCCCAGAATTACCCTCAAGGCTTCATTCTGAAAGTTCCATCAGCTGACACTTTGATTTGGTAAGCATTCCAAGTTCATAATCTATCACTGGAAGGGTGTGATCAATATAACACCGGCTGTCTTGACTTTGCATTCCATTTCATGATATTTATTGGCAGGCCTCATCGACCAGACCAAATTACAAATATGTCGTAGGGATGGAGATATGAACCCGTGACAACCGGGCCTGTAGGCAAGCCTGCTAGCCAATGGTGGCTGTCTTTTAAATTTTCATTAGTTGCTCAGATTCCCGTACTGTCCTGCTGTGCCAATACATCCAACAGACGGCTCGTAGTATATTCCCCCATTCCGTTCTATCCTGTCCCAACAAATCTCACAGACGGTTAGCAGTATATTTCCCCTATAACGTTCTATCCTGTGCAAATATATCTCACAGACGGTTCACAGTGTATTCCCCCATTACGTTCTATCCTGTACCAATATATCTCATAGACGGTTCACTGTCTATTCCCCCATTACGTTCTATCCTGTGCCAATATATCTCATAGACGGTTCACAGTGTATTCCCCCATTACGTTCTATCCTGTACCAATATATCTCATAGACGGTTCACAGTATATTCCCTAATTACGTTCTATCCTGTCCCAATATATCTCACAGACGGTTCACAGTGTATTCCCTATTATGTTCTATCCTGTCCCAATATATCTCACAGACGGTTCACAGTGTATTCCCCCATTATGTTCTATCCTGTCCCAATATATCTCACAGACGGTTCACAGTGTATTCCCCCATTATGTTCTATCCAACAGTATATTCCCCCATTACGTTTCTATCCTGTCCCAATATATCTCACAGACGGTTCACAGTGTATGTTCTATCCCCCAATATATTACGGTTCTATTCCCCTGTGTCCCAATAAATCTCACAGACGGTTCACAGTGTATTCCCCAGTTACGTTCTATCCTGTGCCAATATATCTCACAGACGGTTGGCAGTATATTCCCCCATTAAGTTCTATCCTGTGCCAATATATCTCAAAGACGGCGTGTAGTATATTCCCCAATTTAATTCTATGCTGTGCCAATATATCTCACAGACGGCGTGTAGTATATTCCCCCATTAAATTCTATGCTGTGCCAATATATCTCTCTTCCCAGAATGTACCCCGTATAGCGCCATGGTTTCTGCCTTATAAATGTCCTAACGGTTGCAAAAAACACTTTCTCTTAGCTCTTCAGCGCTTTTGAATTCACTTTATTTTTCGCATAATCCCCAGCACCCCCCCCCCCCCCCCCACCCCGAATGCATTTTACTTTCGTTTTATGTCTTTGGTGAATCTCCAACTTTCATTACCCTGGATTACTTCTGTGTTTTTTTCTTATTATGACACGCACGCACGCGCGCACACACACACACACACACACACACACACACACACACACACACCAAAAAATTCAAAATTCCTTCTTTCCCTCAATCCAAATTGAGGACTGTTTTGTTAATATCGTAAGGATGAGAATCTTATCAGCAACATATCATAAAAATTCCATTCAAACCTACAACAGTTATAGCGGCGTAATACAAAGTTACCAGTTTTTTTTTTTTTTTCATTGAGTAAATCACTACTTGTTTCCAACACACTCATTTCATTATTATATACACAGTAAGTAAACTTTACACACCACACACGTTTATAATGAACCTTAACAGAGGTGAGGTACTCTAAAGTTATGAGTGAGCGTGCAGTCGAATGTGGGTGTGTGTGTTGTTGTGTGTGTGTTGTTGTGTGTGTGTTGTTGTGTGTTGATGTCGTTTTCTTCAATGAGTATAATACTACTTGTTTCCTACACACTCATTATGTATATTTAAACAAAAAAATAACTTTATCCACCAGAAACTTTTATTATGAACATAAACAGAGGTGAAGTGAAAGACGTATAAATTTACAAACGAGCGTTTCGATCAACGTCCTTATCAGCTAATAAAACAAGAAATATCATAAGAACAAACTGTCAAGAATATTTTTAAGAGCGGAAATGCGATTACTTATTTATGTACGGTGAAAAGCCAACACGTGGGGCGGAAGCAGTAAACATAAAAATACAAAGTGGTGTCGAAAATAGGTAAATATCCCCCGCCTGTAACGCGGACGCCGGTTTTCTTTTTCTGCTGCCCTTTTAACTCCCAATGGAGCATAGGCCCTCAGCCAACTCATGCCAAGTCGTTGTATCCTTCGCCATCAAATACCACTCTTCCTATGTCCTCCCCATCTTTTTAACTTCACTATTAGGATCTCTTGTCCATGTGCTTTTATCTCGTAATAATATTTTCAACTTAGAGTGGTAAACCTTGATTAATCAGTCACAATGGGGACAAACCGATCGATCGATCGCAAACATGGATGACTGCAGTCATTCTGATTTGTGTTATTTCTCTATATCAGCTCCATCTACTCGAACTAATTTTCGAGGCTATTTGTGTTGATTTAAAAGTTTGCAGTGCAACTGAAACAATGCTCAAACGATCGCGCTGTTATCTTCTTCTATGCCATCGCTAACTTTAAACACTAGTGAAAAGTTATGGTTGTTCACCTACTTCTCAACTTTGGTTTTGTTACAGAACTTTTTGCGTGAACGTGCGTTTTAAAATGTGCCTTATTTGCATGCAGACTATTGGTTCATCGCTAACCCGACTTCGACGGAAACACCCCTAATTAGTTGCCTTGTACGACATGTCTATTTGAGGTCCTGGAACCCACACTGCAGTTCGCGCTGTTGTTAATCACGACCTGTCAGAATATATTAAATAATGAGTAACCAAACAATCAACAACTTGTCTGCGATAATTCAGCAACAAAAGAATTATATCTTAG